GGTCCCGGGGCTCTCGAAGGCGAGAAAGGCGACTTTCTGGAACTTTGCACGACAAGACTACCTAGCTGCCTGTGAGTGCATACATGACTTGTAATAAACTCCCTTCAAGGTGCTAACTGGGTCCGATAGTCATCAATGAGAGCCAGACAAGGTTAAACACCGACGACCTGGTCTTGTGGACTGAGGCGGGTCTCCAGATCGACAACATGGGCTTTGTACGCTCCAGTAATGCGACCGCGATGGGCTATCCAGACGATGAAGAACCCATCAAGGAAGATCTTATTTCGAATGGCTTAGTTTGGATTCTCTCAAAGATTGTTAACTTTATCAACGCCGGTGATAATGTCCAGTTGAGCCACCCTGGATCGATAGGGGCGGGTCCTCTGGGCCTTTCACAGCAGGTAATGCTGGAGCGATGGTACCGCCTGGAAGCTGAACTCGATGCCTGGTATAATGGACTTCCTGAGACGTTCCAGCCTTGTGCCCGAGTCGAGCTTTCCAAACTACCTCAAAACAGGGACAACCCGAAATTTGACGCTGGCTCGCTGTCCGAGGTATGGTATAGCCTACCTCTGTGTTCCTCGGCGATGCAGCATTACCATATGGCCCGTATCCTTCTTCTCATAAATAAACCGCATGAGTCCACCAGCAGAAGGAGCACCATCGCTGATAGACTTAACTCATATCGCTCAATCGAGAGTGATATTCGATTTCACAGCCGAGAAATTGTGGGGATTGCGCTGGCTTGTCCAACCGGCGCGGTCCGCATCAATTCCCTCCAGCCGCTGTTTGTTAGTGGTCAGTGCCTGACGGAGCCCGGAGAACGGCGGACGGTCCTTGCTTTGCTTCACGGAATCGAAACGGAACTCGGCTGGGCAACCGAGTACCGTGTGAATCAGTTGCTCAGAGAATGGGGCTGGAACGAGGATTCTGCGAATGCGAGCGTCCCATGAAGCCTAGAAGGCAAAGTGCCTTGAGTAATGGTGCTCGTCTCAAAGGACTGTCGTTTCACCGAGTCATGAGCACACCTAGAGATACTTGCTTCAGGCCTCGCGATTCTCGTCATCACCATTCACTCAAGTGGACCGAGTCTCAAGTCGACGCCAGCGGGACTTGTAAATATGCGGACCTGCTACATCGACCGCCGCCTAGGACCTGAAAAGCTTTTCAGCCTGTTCCAGGCAGGCCAACCCGGAATGGGTTGCATATATGTGCATCTGTTTTGAGAATCAGCCTGTTTTTTGAATGATACCAATGTGTTTTGTGCTTTGAACCCATACCGTTGTACCCAGAATCTGCATGAATGCTAATGCCAGGAGAAGGCAAGAACGAGGTGCCTCTCACTACCATCACTTCTTTTCGATCGTGGATCTGTGCTTTCCTTCTTGTATCATGAGTTTGTTTCCATGCCACATTTTGGCGGTTAGTACTGAGTAGCCATCGAAACAATATGACCCCTCTAGCCCATAAGGCGCAGTGAGCCTAGGAGTAAGAAGACGGGAAGAAGCTCGAGCGCAGAAGTGGGCAGCAGAAGAAAAGCAGCTAAGAAAGAGGCCGAGGGTCCTGAGCCTCGAAATTTGCGCCTGGGAATTGATTCGCCGTCAAGCACTCGGCAGAGTTGCCTGCACCTTCCACTTCTGGCAGCTGCAACATCGGGATGCACGTGCCGCCGTTCAGCTTCCCGCCTCCTGATGGAGTCAACTCACTTTCCTCTTCGCAGTAGCTCTCCCTCTCCATCACACCACATCATTGGAGCTTCATACCCCTCGAAAACTGGAGATCGAAAACAACCGACCATCCCAGCCATCCACATCCCCCCTTCATCAACTCATCATGCTAGCAGCCTAGCAGATGTGGACTCTCTGCTTCTGAATTTCTGCACACACATTATCGGCAACACCTTCAAGCCTGTTGATGATGATCGCCATGGCCGCCGCGGAAGGTTAACCGACCACCAATTTGCCCCGCGACCCTCTTCTTTCTTTGCTCTTATTTCAAAGTTCAGACCTCCATCGTCATTATCGTGAACGATCTTCGTCTTGTTCCTTGGTTGCGTTGCGGCCCTGAACCCACTTTTTTCCCCTCTTCCTCCTCCGCCCATCAACTTGCAGATAGATAGATACACAAGTGAAAGGTGTGGAACAGGCACACACACGCACACACACCCTTCCGACCATCCCGATTCTCACCGCAACCCTACTGATTGATCTACCTACTCGTACTCCATCCTACACAGTAGAAATTGCATTGCTCTTGTTGATAACGTCACGATCCAACTACCAAGTAAAGAAATATCACCGATTATACCCGCCCTGCAGGAAAGTCTTCCGACCGGCTAGACTACTTAGCTGGCTTGGTTACCTGTGTCAAGGAGATTGATTCGCTGGCCTTGTGGAGTAGGTTGTTGGCTTAGTGTAGCTTGGTAGAGCTGCTAGTTGGCCTACTTGCCTTACTAGATAATGAACAATACTAATACCTTGGTATTCTGCAGCAGGTGCGATATTAATTTGATTCTGCACACTTTAGGCTACTTTACTTGGTCTACCGACCATGTCGGAATGCTGGTTGCTTTCGGGTGAGCGGGATGATCCTACCCTACCCTACCATACTTTAGCTAAAATGGACTACTTACTTCGTAAGTAACTACTTCATAGAACTACTAATGACTACCTTACTGATAACTACTCCGTAGTTAAATCGAAGTAGTAATTAGATTTCCCAATACGGGAAAGACACCGACCACCGCAATACATACCTATCTAGTACATATGAACCCGGCTGGCCTTGTCGGTTATCCCAAAGGAGTAATCCGAAGGAGGAGTAGCAGGTATTTTGCTACTTCGTACACCCTACCCTATCCTACTCTAGTAATAAGCCCAAGAAATCAAGAATCCGGTTCGGCTTCGAGGGTTGCTTGATGACCCTGATGGGTTCAGTTGTTCACTATTGGTGAGGGGCATATGCGAGAGTTTTGAGACAATGGGGTTGGATACTGTAGATACTACATATTACTTTACTTGCTGACTGTTGCCTTGAGGGGGGGCGCTTGGTTGATGTTGTCTCATTTGGACTAGGGAGGGACTGAGACATTATGTCTGATGAGATCAGGTTTGCTTTGGGTTCTTAATATGCTATTGGTATCAAACCACGAAGATAGCAAGTAATATGGTTATGAAGCATACGGTAATCTAGGTCTAAGATATGATTAGTTATAAAAAGCTAATATACAGGGTATAATCATTTCTTCCGAAGTCGCTTCGACATCCTCCTTGTTGTCGTTGTTTGCGAAGCTTGTACGATGGCGTTCAGCTTCTCCTTTTCCTTGGTCTCATCATCATCATCTTCTTTCTCGACTTTCACTCCCTCATCATCTGCAGGTCTCTTGGTCGGTACAGCTATGGCTGTAGTGACCTTTGTCTCCACCTCGACACCCTCCTTATCATCCTTCTCTACCTTCACATCCACCTTCTTCGACGTAGTCGCAGCCAACCGATCCGAGAATGTCCTCAGATCCGCCGTGAACAGCACACTATGCGCCCACCCCGCTTCTTTGCCCCAGAGCTTGCGAAAGTGGTTTCCCACTGCATCATAAGTAACCTTCGTCAAGGACTTATTTCCTCCCTTTCCGAACTTGTAGTCTCTCTGCGCGATCTGCCAGACTAAATCACACACCATTAGCAATCCAACCATAACATGACAAACGGAGCAACCGAGGTAACTAACCATGCGTATCAACCGGAACCGCCTCTCCCCAACCCAACCCCATCAAGCACACACAATCCGCAACCTTAGGCCCAACCCCCTGCAACTCAAGCAACTTCTCATGCGCCTCGCGATACCCCTCTCTCCCCTCGGGCTTCATCTGACCCGCCGGGGTAGCTTCCACCCCCCAAGCCGGACACTCCGGGTTACATAACGAATCCAACCACCCAGCCTCCCGCTCCTTGGCCACCATCACCGCCGTCTGGTAGATGTACTTGGCACGGTACCCGAACCCCAAGCCGCGCAACTTACTCTCCACGTCGGTAGCGGTGAGGGCATCCGGGGCCGGGAACCCGTGGTAAGCGCGACCATTGATAGATGCAATGAAGGGGCCGTAGTTAAGGCAGAGCTTCTCGACCATCTGCGAGATGCGCGCAATGTTGTTGTTGCTACTGCAGATGAAGGAGATCAGGGCTTCCCAGGCGTCTTGGCGCAGGATGCGGATGCCGGTGAATTGGGGGGCCTTTTTGCGGAAGTTGGGGTCTTGCGCAGACCATTCGGTGTAGAGGGAGGTGAGGTTGGCGGAGAGGTTGAAGTAATGGGTTAGGAGGGAGAGGGTGGTGTCGTCGTCATTGTTTTTGGGTTTGGGGGATTGGGTGGTGCGGTAGGTTCGATAGTAGAGATGCGTTCGGTCTTGTTTTAGAGAGAGAAGGCGGCCGTGGAGAACGCAGCGCCATTCGTCTGTGTCGGGGACGTTGTGCCATCTGTAGATGATATGAAGACCTTGTTAGACTAAATGTCGGGGAAGACGAGGAGGGTACTTGCGGTTTTGTTACCGAAAAGATTGACCACAGCGTAGGGTGGTATTGATGCAGAGTTCATTGAGACTCACGGGCAACTTGCGCCATTCTGAAAAGGCGCCGACAGTCATGATTGAAGTGAATTGAGCAATTACCTGCCCGACGCTGAGGAAGGCGAATGTGAAAGGCACGATAATCGCGATAAGTTGATTCTGCCAGGAAGATTGGCCGACACAGCAGGCGGTCAGGACTCCGCAGACCAGAGGCGCTAACCAATTCGGACGGGAGTGTCGCCGATCGTCACCTGCGAGTTTTCCCTCCAGCGCAGCTCTTACTTTCTCCCCGATCACCCTGCTTCCATCCTTCGGTGCCATCGAGCTTGCCTTTCGGAGTGTCTGATCGTGTTGGATCTCTCTCCGACCATTATTTGCTGTCCATCCCTTTCGCCACGTGAAACGGGAAAATAAGAGTCAAAGAAATATTGCCGGAGCTTTCAGAATGAACGGCGATACGTACACGTCCAGAGGTGAGCTTTATCTTCACCATTCCATTTACTGCCGCATATGGTGGCTAACAATTATTTCGCAGATTCTGGTCGCCCTAGGGACTACTACGTGAGTGAAAATCAAACAAGGGTGTATGTGCCCGGAGCTAATTGAAGTGAACGATAGCGCGAAGAGCGTCGCGAGCGCGGCGGCGACAGAGCAGAGAGAGGAGAGAGAAGACGTTCGAGATCCCCCCATTACAGTTCGAGAAGCTCCCGACGCGAATATGAGGTAGATTCGTATTCGTCCAGCCGTGACTACCGCGCCAGAGAACGCGAGGACCGTTATTCTAGCCGCAGAGACGACCGGGAATGGGATCGGGATCGCGGTGACCGTGGTGATCGCGGTGATCGCCGACGCAGAGAATACGAAGATAGACCCTCCCGCCGCGAAAGGGGAGACAGAGATCTGTTCGAGGATAGACCTCGACGGGAAGGCAGGGGAGACCGCGAGCGTGAGCGTGGAGAGCGTGCAGAGCGTGGTGGACGCGGAGATCGCGACCGTGGCGAGCGAGGGGAGCGCAGACGGAGTGCGTCGCCTCCTCGAAAGAGGGAGGCCACTCCCGATCTCACAGATATCGTGTCGGTGCTGGATCGGAAACGTCGCCTGACGCAGTGGGATATCAAGCCTCCGGGCTACGAGAATGTTACTGCCGAGCAGGCGAAGCTGTCAGGTGAGATTGATGTTTCGTTGTTATCTATATGGTCTAATGTAGTTATTTTGCAGGCATGTTCCCCCTCCCTGGAGCCCCCCGACAGCAGCCGATGGACCCCAGCCGCCTTCAAGCTTTCATGAACCAGCCCGCCGGCGGCAACGCGGACACATCTACCCTCAAGCCTTCCAACTCTCGCCAGGCCAAGCGTCTTTTTGTTTACAACATTCCCCAGACTGTCACCGGCGAGACCCTTTTGGCCTTCTTCAACGTCCAGCTCAATGGCCTGAACGTTATCGAGAGCGTGGATCCTTGCATTTCGGCCCAGGTGGCCCAGGACCACTCGTTCGCCCTGCTCGAATTCAAGTCGCCCAATGACGCTACAGTTGCGCTTGCGTTCGACGGAATAGCGATGGAGGAGCACGAAGCTGCTGGCAACGGGGCCGCTAATGGTGCCGCTCAGGGCCTGGAAGTGCGGCGACCCAAGGATTACATTGTCCCTGGCGGAGCTGAGCAGGAATACCAGGAAGGCGTGTTGCTGAATGAGGTTCCTGACTCTCCCAACAAGATCTGCGTGTCTAACATTCCCAACTACATCCCCGAAGAGCCTGTGACAATGCTTCTTAAGTCTTTCGGAGAGCTCAAGTCGTTTGTTTTGGTAAAGGACAGTTCTACGGAGGAGTCTAGGGTAGGTACCTTATCAAATAGCTCGAAGAAGTGTACTGACACGAATAGGGTATTGCATTCTGCGAGTATGCCGATCCCTCAGCAACAACGATTGCGGTGGAAGGTCTCAATGGAATGGAGCTGGGCGATAGACACCTCAAGGTTGTGCGCGCCAGTATCGGAATGACACAGGCTGCAGGCCTCGACATGGGCGTCAACGCGATGTCGATGTTCGCCAAGACGACGTCTCAGGACCTGGAGACCAGCCGCGTGTTGCAGTTGCTCAACATGGTGACACCGGAGGAGTTGATGGACCCTGAGGATTACGAAGGTAAGCTTGCCTGATGCATGGAAGAAGCGTTTGACTAATGGGATAGAAATCTGCGATGACGTACGCGACGAATGCTCCAAGTACGGCACTGTAGTTGAGCTGAAGGTACCTCGTCCGACCGGCGGCAGCCGACAGTCGCCAGGAGTGGGCAAGATCTTTGTCAAGTTCGACACGGTGGAATCGACGACGAATGCTCTGAAGGCGCTTGCGGGCAGGAAGTTCTCGGACCGGACTGTGGTTACAACCTACTTTTCCGAGGTAAGACCAACCCTATTGAGTCAATGGTTTTATTACCTTGCTAACCCGTGCAGGAAAACTTCGACGTCAACGCATGGTAATGTAGGATGGACGGTCTATACACATATCCCCCTTTTTCTTATATCATTCTATTTCCTTTGTTATCTTTCATTGCCACTTCATGACGCGTAATTGATTCAAGGCCGACGATGCCTGGGGCAGACGATGCAACAATCTGTACTGGAAGTTAAATTTACTGGAGATGGAGGACAGTGGTGGTTGCGATGCGCTTTCTAGTACTGTGTAGGGGTTACGATGTATCATAGCGAATGAACTTGGATCTGACATGCTTGAAGTAGATGATTTGGAGGTATTGTCGAATACCACTGACGGTCATCCCATACATCCCCATGCCATATGCTGGCAATTTAGTAGTAGTCTTTACCTACGTTATCACATTCTCGTGTTCATCCAATGGTAGTACATATCTACAGTGTAAAGAAGCACGTCGGGGCGCAGCTGAAGCGACTAGGAGGAGGCATGTTAGATAGTATCTCATAGGCATTTGCTGACTGGCCGTCAATGCTATAAAGAAATCCGTAGCGAAGCTGAAGTTGGCAAGGAGTGAGAGGCATGTTACACGATCGTCAGGAGCAGTTCAGTGATTTGTCAGTAGAACATGCTTGTTCATATCTCTATAAATACAATGACTCGTAGATGTGTTGGCTCTATTATATAAATACTAGTTGCGTTATTCAACCATCAACCTTGTAATGAACCCACAAGCTAAGTATCCCCTTCAAACTTATTGCAGTCTCTACCACTTCGATACTTGAATTCCAGAAAGATTCGGCTCGCTCACGCTTTCTTTCCTTTACTCGGTCTGCTGTCATTTGGCATGGCACAGACCACCCCTCCAGTACCCATCTCATGTCAGACAAATGCATACTTAGTACTGATGTATATATACCATAGGTTACTCTATGGAGTGACATGTATTACGAAGGAGACTGTCCAAATCCCTGCGGACAACCACTGCCATACTCTCAGCGATTACCAGCCGGACTTGTAAGTCGTTAATTCGAAATATCTCCTGCTACAGACATCATATTTCTAATAAAACACAGGACCCGCCAGGTCTCGTCTATTCAGATTCCCGACGGTATTCAATGCTATCTTACAGAGTAAGTTCAATCCAGAATCATGGTTAATCATCATCATGTGCAAATGTGGCTAACATAAGGCAAAAGGTGGGAGTGTCTTGGTATGATTGACGACGCTGATACAAAGATTATTGCCTCTCCTGGGATGAGTAGTCTTTACAACATTGATTTCAATGACAAGTTGGTGAATATCGCTTGTCTCACTCCTGCGCAGAACTAGTACTAAAGGTCATTGTGCGTATGAGTTCGGGTACTAGTTTTAGTTGTGACTTGGATATTATATGTGTCGATCGCCCACACTGGTATTAAGTTGACTTGCTGTTTGGTTTGTTAGATGCTGCGAGAGTGATTTGAATATCAATACAATGTTTGACTGGTTAGTACTATGAGGCTATGGTATAACTTCGAGTAGAGTTGATAAAGATCATCCTTCAATATACCCTATAGTACTAGTTACTAATGATAGAAAAATACTTCTACTGATAAATGGTACGTAGTAGGTAGAGACTGCTAACTATAGACTTACAAAATAATCAACCATTATTCTTCATTTATGTTCGAGAACCACCCCCAATATCGTCAAACCAAGCGATACTAAGCATGCAATGAACCACTTGCCGAACCCAATCACATATTCCGCTACTACTAGTACTACGAACAGTTAAGTGTCCCTCGGCACATTACACGTTCCCACACGGCAAAACATGCAGAACCCGAGGACGATCGATTTCCTAGTCGATTGAACCCCGAATGATGATCACTCTGGTCCCCGATGGTTAGCCTGGTTCTAGCAGAGAAGCGAGTAATTAGTTCCTCGGAAGGTATGCACCGTTGACTCTGTAACTACTTTGTAGATACTTGAATGTATAGTGGGTGGGTATACACATAGTGCTATAGTCCCCACACACATAAAACTTACATTAGTTATCTTCAACTACCCTCATAACTCAATCACATAGTACTAATTAATACTCATAAAGATTGTAAGCACTACTCCCGTCATAATAATCCCTCAACTGATGAGTCAGTACCACGGGAGTAGTACTTCGTAGTAGTTCTACTCCTCGGCTCTAATATACACCAGGTCTGTGCGTCAGGGAAGGATCTCACACCCGCTACCCTACTTACTGCCCTCTGCGGTGCTGCTCGGCTGGAACGGAGTACTCCGTTTAGTTAGTACCTAGTAAAATAAATTAGAGAATAGTCTGGCCAGTTTCCCCGCGGGGGAGATACTATATTGAGTGGCGTTATATATATTCTCCGTATGCAAGTATGCAAGTACTAGGTAAGCACTAAGCACTAAGCACGTGTGCCTTCACTAGTAGTATGATTACCACTCAATATAATCAAAACATGCGTAACATGTACACCACACCTACCTGAACCCAGTGCCTGAACCAATTTACGTTCCACAGACACATTAAAGATAAATATGAAATATATGAACCCGTTCAAAACACAAAAAGTATAACCCAGAAAGAAGAGAAAACCAGACAGTAAACCCTACAGCCACCTCACACGGGGCTGACTACCTAATCGGTTTAGTATAAACTACAGGGTTTATATCCATCCATCCATCCGATGCCGGAGTGCCGTGCGATGCCATCAACTACTAACCTCAACTTACCTTACAAGCTTAACTCCGAGGATGATGACAACTGCCAGCATGCTTGTGCATCCTGCCTCGGCATTCATCAATCACAATCACAATCCCGATCCCAACATCCGTTGTGACCACGTCTGTGCCATACATATCCAGGACAAGAACGGATACTCACAGCGATGATCCGTTGATCCAACTCCTCCAAAGTGAAAGAAAGCATGCAAAGCAAAGGGCGAACACATACTGAATTGAGTTCGACCAAAAAGGGAGAAAGATAGTCATGTCAATCATGTCATGTCACTTAACAATGCTACGCTAGAGAAAAGAGGGGGAAAAGAAGGCCAAGAGATTCTAGACCGGAGGAGAGAAAAGAAAAGAATTGAATTGAATTTAGTGGTGGCGGTGGTGCCATCTCCGCTTGTCGCTGGCAGTAATTATTACTAGCATTAGTATTAGCCCTGCGGGGGATTCAGATATAACTAGTTACTTTGTAGTTAGTTAGCCGAAAGGATTTCATTATGCTGACTGAGTAGTCTGAGTGACTGACTGCGAGACCGTTGGGGAAAGTTAAGGTTTGGGGGTGGACCTTGGTTATTTTCCTTCGTTGTACTACCGTAGTGGCACTGCAGGAGTGACCACTAACTAATAAATTTCCCACTGTAAGAGTCATAGAATGTGGAAAGGAATTGATGTATGTGTAATGATTCATTTCTTCTTTTCTTCTTCTTCTTCTAAGGGTATTGTATACATACAAACATCAATGCATCAGGGTATATAAAAACATCAAATCCAGCCGTAAACAGTTAGTAGTCTCACATCACATCACACAGTAATAATAATAATATAGAGCGGCTTTTCCATGCGCCCCATGCTAACAAAGAAACCTAACCAAACCATGTTACAAACGCCAATCCCACTGCATCATATCGACCCCTTCTGTGAATGGCTTTTAGCAAACGTAGCTTCTGGGTCCCATTCACGTTCCGTGCCATTCTGCGTCGCACTAGGCGGTCTCGGAGACGAGAAACTCATCGAAGGCCGTACATAACGAGCCTCGCGACCATAGTGCTGCCCGCCTTTGGCTTCCGGGCTACGGGCACCCATCGTCCGTGCGGGACTCGGAGACCGCACAACTGGCTCAGGGGTCTTATACGGGGGCAGACTCGATCCGGAGATCATCTCGTAAGCGCGAGGATCCGGCGTTCCTCTGCGCGCATCGACAGAGACGAACTCGTTAGGCTGCGTAACACGGGCTTTGAAGAATTCGCCCCAACCGACGAAGATAGAAGGACGGGCGTATAGGACGAAGTTCCAGAAGCCGACCGTCGCCAGTAGAATCAGGACAGCGAGGAGGGTGGCTTTGTTCGGGACGATAGCTTCGGCTTCACTGTAGCATTTCTGGACGTTGCCTTTAGTTTCGACGAGACAGGTGAGCCAGGGGGTGGCGAGTTTTATATTAGCGACGGTGGAGGTGAGATGGTTATCCATTTTTATGAAGACGACGGCGAAGAAGATGACGTTGGTCAAGATGACGAGGACTAGGGCGACACCGCGCCATTGGAGTTGCAGGACGCGGCGGACGCGACGGTAGGCTTGACGGGCTGTGACGGTGCGGACACTGGCGGAGTAGGAAGGAAGACCGGAGCTGGTGGTGGAGGTTTCCTCGTCATATATGGATTTGACGTAGATGTAGATGCAGTAGACGAGGGTGGCGAATTGGAGGAAGAGGGATGCTCCGGCGAATGCAACGACGGGCGCCCAGTAGTCTCTGTTGCTGTCGTGGACGTTGATGTGGCAGACGGTGCCGAAGCGGTAGGATACTCCAGTAAGGATGAGCATCTCAGTCAGACCGACGGCGGGAATACCCCAGCCTAGGATGAGTGCTGTCCACATGAATTTCGGGCCGAGCATGATTTCCCAGCAGACTTGAAGGTGGAAGGCTAGTGTGCGGATGAAACCTGTAGTCGCTGGTTAGTGGTAATTGCTGGTGGTGGTGGATGGTGTTGAGGCTTACTGAATACGACGCATACCCAGCCTCCGAAGAGGAGTAGGGAACCGGTAAAGGCGCATGACAAGTCGGTGTGCATGTCATTGGGGGTGATTTGGTTGTAGCATTGCTCTGGCTTGACTCCTAGCGGGATGATGAAGGCGATCTGGGAATCGAGTCAATACAGGGCAGTTGATTCGCGATGGCAGTCTACCCACCTCCATACAGCAGATTCCCAGGGTGAAGCAGATGCTCAAATAATGACGATGCGTCCATTTCGGGGGCAGCACGGCGAATGATACCAGGAGGAAAATGCACAGGGGCAATGTAGCGACACCAAGCCAACTTGCGACCTTGGTTTGGGAGATCAATTCTGGATGCGACAAGTTCTGGTTAGCTAGGCTTTTCGAATAACGGCAGCAGGGGCAGTGGACTTACTTTCGCCATAGGTCCATTCTGCCAATGGGCATGGAAGACAGCAAGAGACCTTGCCATGCTCTGTGGTAAGCTCCTCACAAAACCGTCCATCAATGACTGCGACGAAGCACACGATCAGTTCAGTCACCGGCGATTGGGTCCACACTAGCAAGGGATAGCGTACATCCACCTTTCGATGGGAACAGTGACTCCTGGAGGAAAGGAGTCGGACAATATCCAGACAATGTTTCGTTGGCCATAGTGGTAGGAATCTTCGTGATTATGCGACGGATGCGAGAGAGGGCCGGGGAGGGTCATGTCCTGTCCCTCGGGGGCAAACGAGTGGCGGGATTATCGACAATACTATACTAGTGACTGTGCCAGGCGTGGTTACCCCGCGCAAGAGGCTCACGGCCGTGGAACGATTGATATCGATCGAACAGACAGCCTTGTGGTTTATCGCATGATACTAGTAGGAAGAGAGGGGAGCAAGAGGCAGGTGGGCGCGGACGGACATGGGGGGTGGGAAGGCTGATCAGATATACTAACTACGAGCTAGGGCAATGGATGATGTACCGACGACCAGAAAGATGGTACCGTTCTGGGCACCACTAGAGGATTGGTTGGGGCAATGGCCATGGACTGATAGGAGGTCCGTTCACACAAGAGCAACGCAGCGTCGCCATGGTCTGGGGCGTCGCTCATTGGGTTCTGACGATAGACGGTGGAATTCCCCTCCATGGCTCGGAACGGCGAGAGAGAGACTACGGTAAGGTTTGGCACCAGGGGCATTGATGGGCTTGGTGGAGTTGCTGCACTCCATTCGACTGGCTTCGTGCGACAACGCCCATTCTGGGCAAAGAGAGACAGAAGGAGCGAGTCCCAAGCTCCGTCGGGGTTCCAATTGACTGGGAGGCGCAGAGGCAGTACAGAAAATCGAAAAACCAATAATAAAATCAAAAAGGAAAGTGAGCTAGTGAGTAGCATCGGGGACCAGGTGGAATCAGGAGAGGAAGGAAACGAACGAACGAGAGGCCTGGGAGACGGTGGTAGGGCAAAGACCACGAGCGGGGAATCAGATGCCGTCGCCGCGGACGTTGGTTGACTTGGGTTGATTCTGGTTGACACTGGCTTCGACGCCAGGATTCTAACGCCTTTGGGTAAATTGGCGATGCCTGCATCTGCATGGATCGGAGTGGTTTCGTCTTGCTGATTGGCCGTCGAAATACCGACTGGACCTGCGCCGTAGCTTTTTGCTGGGCCTTTTCGTTTAGATACTGCTTCCTTAACGGAGTCGGCTACTTAGTTGTTGCTGGAAGAGGGGAGACCCACCCAGCCATCCATGGATCTCTCGGGGGAGGCTTCCATAATTCTCTTAGTGATGAGATAGTGAGCCATTGATTCCTCTCGGGGTATGAAACTCACTAGTCTAGGCTATCTTTTTTGAGGGGGGAGAGTCATCCTAAACGTTAGTGACAAGTTATCCGCCGCCTCTTCCTGCGTGTGCTGGTTTAGGGCACGATAACAATCCCATTATTTTCCAGTCTTTTGCTGCAATAATGGGGATCTTACTACGTCCCCATTTTCGGGCAGGAGTTGCTCTACAAAAATTTTCACATCTCGTATATTATGGAGCACATCACATCGTCCCTACTGCAGGATGATTATTGGCCAAGGTTAAGGATTTCATTCCCACAATTCCTCGGGAGGTAAAAATTTAGGATTTCTTGGACTGGCCAACAGCCTGCAGGAGGGAAAAATCTCAGCAACCATCCGCGTACCTTACAGTGAGTGCCTCTGCTTAGTGCGTCGGAGGGGCTTCGTATGCAGGCAGGGGTGGAAAGGCACTTCGATCAACCTCCACTATACCCGAACCAGCAACCTTCCCAGCCACTAGAAGACTCATCCTGGTCGTTTTGAGTTCGACCGGCTTCGCACGAGTGTCGCGACGATTACTGCCTGTATCCATCGTAGTCTGCAGTAGACCAGTAGCCCTTGCCCCTGGGTGAGGGTCGACCTGCCACGAGACTCTAAACTCCCCATAGCCGGGTTTTGACTCGATAGTGGTTCCATGGGAATTGAATGGTCTTTCTGTGGTCACGTTACATAACTCCTAGGATTTACTCTGTGCTATGTTGCAGTTATCTTGGTTGTTTTTTTCTGCTTTACCCCCTGGTCTCTCAATCTTGAGCCATCTGATACCTGGTGTGACTCAAAACAAAGGAGATCTGCCATCTGTGCCCCTGACTGTGTAGCCACGGACTTCAGGGACAAAATGGTCCACTCCAAACACAATCATCAGCCAAGTAAAGTACTTTTAGTAACCCAGCACGTAAGCACAGGAGTAATACAACTCAACAACGACGCCTCTGTCGCACTGCCATCGTCATCGGCACGGGCATCAATTGCAAAAACCCCTCCACATACCGTGTATAATCTAGATCGATGCCCCAGTGGCGGCGGGCGCATGGACCAACCGACTACTCTAGTAATACTACATCGTGCCGCGACCGCTGCACTTGTGCCCATCGCCATCGAGGTTGCATCCATTCCTCGAACTGCCACACGGACCTGCATCCAGTCTGCCGTAGCCGCATATCGGGTCCAGTTAGTGCAGGTTCATCATTCCCAACAAACCCTCATCGCTAAACAGATGGTCTAGATATCCCGTTGCGCGGGAATTTGCCGCGGGTCTGATCGACATCAACCTTCTTGTTCGTTAAGCAATTCACGGTAGTTGAAGTCTACCGAGGGGAACCTTCCCTCGTCCGGCTAAATTTAGGGCATCCACTCCCGGCACCGAAGTCTGGTATACTAGTTTAGCTTCCCCTTGTTAGCTGCCTGGAGCTTTTGCGTGATCCAGTATGGATTGACGTTCCTCTAGCCTTGTTCCGGTTGATAGAAGTGGGTTTTGCATATCAGCATTGATCGACTTCGGTAGTGGTTAGCTATCAATTTCCTCAGGAAGAACCTTGGAAACAATGGAAACTGGGTAGCGAGATTCGGTAGACCAAGCTTTTGAGAAGGGGGTATGCTTATTTCCCTCATTGGGTAATGTGGACAGAAAGTGAGCCAGCTGTTCGATGCAGGACTGGGTATATACCGATCTTCAATCTTTCAGTGGAATCTACGGGCGGGTGCTAGATTTTTGTCGATGTCGATTTCGATTTCGCTTCTTCCCACAATCCCATTGTTCGTTCAACCTATGGACTCATGTATCTATCTCAAACACTGACCAGGAGATGGTCAGCTAGCTGGCTTACTCCATAGTCCTCACAGCTACTCCGTACACCACGACATGACAGACGTAACCACACGTGGAGCATTTCTATAAATGGCTTCGTCAAGAATAGGAAATAAACATTTGCCACATTCTCTTCGCGGCTTCTAGTCTTGAGTTAAAAGTACTGACTTAGCTGGATTACAAAGTTTTTCAAATTCCCACTTATATGGGGCCTTTTGCGACAGTTTGTTTCGCTTGGCTATCTTCCCTCTACCCGAGTCTAGAATAGCTACTAACTAGTTAATTACTCCATAGCACTGACTAAGTTTGCCGGGTGGATGAAACTGTCAGTCTCCAATTATGCCTCCATCCCGTCCATCGGCATTGCTCCCGCGCATCCCGCAATACGAGAGATTAACTTAACTCAGTCGATACTAAGTTATAGCTTAACCAAAGTTGCACGGGAGGTATCTCGATGTCTTTGCAGACGACATCGATTCTCGTATCGAAGCTTCGTCCGTCGTGGAACTTTCCATCCAAAGTATTCTTTGTGTCTTTTCCGCGGTTTCCTGATTAGACTTTCCCAATCGGGTTTTTGCTATTGAATTCAAATTCATCTCCTGGAAGTATGTCGCTACCTTGGTAGTTGGTAGATGTGCATGAGTGATTTCTGGTCTATCATAGACTAGTTGGCAGTGCCATGCAGGCCTGGCCGCTATCTATTACATACTATGTAGTATAATCAAGGATTCCTTTCGACCTACGCAGTACTTTTTACATCCGTATGGTGGCAGCAAAAGCAATGCATTGCTAGTGAAACAACTAAAGTACAGACTATGGAAAATTCTGATAGTTAGTCCCTTACCCCCTGGTGACTTTGATATACTAATGAGACGATCAGCGACTAGTATCTACAGACACACAATAAGCAAGAAACATACGCGATGCGCGCGGGGAAATATTCCCATTGTACCCCTGGCGAAGAGAACTCAAATTCTCCTATTTGCTTATTGTGTTTGGATGCTACTTCCCCGGAAGGAATCCAATAGTAAGCCGGGACTACCTGCACTATAGCTTATAGGGCTGTCAGAACAAAACCTGGCCGCCAAGCCAGTTGACAGGAGACGAATCAGCAAAACGAGAGGGAAATCAATCATCCAACTGGTCGTCCGTTGGACATCCTTTCAGCTATCTGTGATGTCTGTGCTACCTCTCACTCTCGAGTCTTGACTGGTGTAGCTTTGTATACGGTCAGCTCTACTAGCGGGGCAAATCAGCCCGCAGAACAGCAGCGACCGTGAAATCCCACCAGGTCATGCGATGAAGGCAAGAAAAGGCACATCGGGACTCGGATGCCGCAAGAGGCAATTCTCACTCTCGCCCCCCCCCAGCATATCCCAGCGATCCATCTCAGATCCCGCACGAAGTATCTAGCCCGTGCAACTGCGCCATCAGCTGTGGATGAACGGGGCAAGCCAATCAGTCGCTGTCATCCAGCAGTGACGGTGACGGGGGCGATCATAGGCTCATCACCAGCTGACCGGTCACAACGCGTGGAGACCGACACTCACTTGCGGTACCCACGATCTCACCTCTCCGTCTAATGCTATGGATCTCTCATTGCTGAATGGTGATACATACGGGGCTCAGCTTGCCCTTGCACTTGCCCCTCTCCGCGCCGTGTCCTGGAGTCGGTCGCACTCGACCGTCTGATTTGGCGATCTCTGGGATCAGACGTCAACGCACAGCTCATGGAGTGGTCGAATCATGGACCTGGATCGCCTCCAAGTTTATGGTCCCTGGTCTAGACTTGCATATTCTCCAGTCCATGGAGTACTTACGGTGTACAGAGTATAGTGTTACTGATCTCGCACAACACGGAAGATGGCCGCTTCTATCGTACAAACAAAGTACGATTCGATCCTATTCTCCTCGTTTCCAACACAAACGTGTTGCTGATACCCACTTGCCTACTTTTATGCTCCACAACTGGCGGTCACATCTGGTGGGTTTGGATGAAGCCTGTCAGTGACTCAATCATCACTACTCCGTACCAACGGCTGGTGTCCACAGCCCACTATTGCTACTGCTGCTAGGATATGACACATCGCCAATCCACAACGCAGGCTTCCATGCCCAAGCGAATGGTCTTCTTGGCTTCAAATATGCACACAGAATATTACCGTGTAGCTAGTTGGCTAGGGCTTACACTTACGCTTATGCGGGTCTGCTGTTGTTTCGGAGTTGCTGCACGAGGCAGACAACCAGATAGACAGACAAATCGCGTCATGACTACCTATCTATCTACAGGATGTTCGCAGCAACACTTGATGCACGTCGCAGAGCAGACCATGGTTCGTCCGTCTGCGCGTCTATGTGAGTTGATTTGGAATCTTGATGGACAAATCACACTGTGTCGTCGAATTTTCTAGGGCGTCGCGCGGAATACGCTGAAAATCCAGGAACCCGATAACAGCATGTGGGGAGGGAGTTGCGATGCTGAAGCGGATGCATGAGGATGTCTTGAAAGCGATGCCTCGTTGCGGTGTGATACTGCTTGCATTTGCTTGACACTGATGGAGAAGTGCAGCAATGATGACTTGTATGTTGGACGGTGGATGATGAGCTTTACGACTCCACGAGGCTGCGTGATTCTCTTCAAGCAGCCTTTCCGATCGTAAATGGCTCAGGCATTGCCGGTGCCATCGCAGTACTCAGTAGTATAAAGCCTCAATACGACAGGACTCGGCGATGGCAGCGGGCAGACATCCCATCGGATTGCATGCTCAAGACATTGTCTCGCCAATCCTCTACATTCCTGTACATTTACAATATGGGATCGCCCCGAACTCCATGATCTACACGAGCAGGGAAAACACCGTAGTTCCATTGAGAAATATGAATTCATTGATATATTGCACTATTAAGCCCATCCCTCGACACCAGAATATTATCGAATCAAATATTGGCAACCTATCTTGATGCGAGTCAGCACAATGCGTCTCAACTCCCATGACATAACATTTTGCGAAATGAAAGGATATCAGAAGTCCATTTAGATCATCGAGATAGACCGAAGCCTATCTCTGACATAAGAGGTACCAGAAAAATAAAAAGTAAGGTGTGTTTCATCCTGTAAAGCAGAGGGTAAAATAACATAGGAGTGAAAACTAACCTGAATATCAAATTTGCCAGCAATTTAGCTGTAGCAATTAGTAGAGGAACATTTCGTGGAATAGAAGGTAACAGAGCATCATAAACTCTGCAGCAGCTCGCTGGCATACCACAAGAAACAAAATCCCAAGACTCAAAGAAAGTCAAAACGGAGCTTAAAAAGCTCCGGAAAGAAAAAAATAAGCGAACCCAACTCCCACATCACATGACCATACCCACAACAATACCGGCAAATCTGGATTCCACGTGACCCACGATCGCAAAATCCACCCAACGAAAAAATAACCTCGTCCTCCTCGAACTTTTCGATACTCGACCAGCTCACTCACAACCCGTTCGACAACCACCCCCCGTCAACACCACCAATCAATCAAAATGGGTCGCCTTCACTCTAAGGGAAAGGGCATTTCGTCCTCCGCTCTCCCCTACTCTCGCACTCCCCCGAGCTGGTTCAAGGCTTCCACCGAGCAGGTTGTTGAGCAGATCTGCAAGCTCGCCAAGAAGGGTGCTACCCCCTCCCAGATCGGTGTTGTCCTCCGTGACAGCCACGGTGTTGCCCAGGTCAAGACTGTCACTGGTAAGAAAACTCTCCTGGAATATCAAGAAGCAAAAAGTGAGGGATAGGAAAGGATACTAATATATGGAATGTGAATAGGTAACAAGATCCTCCGTATCTTGAAGTCCAACGGTACGACATCACCGACATGTTATTCCCTTTCACCAGTCGCACCAGTTGCATGAGCATGTTTGTGGATGTGAATATGGCAGGAATGGGCGCGAGCAGAGCAGCAGCCGCAGGACCCGGATTGGAATATATCCGGCGATTTCGATTCGAGTTATTGATGGACAACCGATACGATATATATTCTGCACGAAAGTGAAGAAGAAGAAGAGGGACAAGAGAATGAGGTTGAAACATACCCGGAATCGTTCTCGACTCTACTCCGTATCGACATGCACACTCGCAAACCCACAGTCTCGCAATCGCAATCGCAGCAATCCCGGCTCTCTCTGCCTCCCACCATTTCTGCACAACCCAAACATACCACAACATGTCCATAAAACTGGAGGGCACCGAAAGTTAAACTTCAAACATCCCCAACTCGCAGAAATGCAGTTGGGAAGTTGAAAGTTTTCTTTTGCGTGATCCCGTATGCCTCTGCTTGGTCAAACCACAGGCTGACAGAGTGATTTTACAACAGGCCTTGCCCCCGAGCTCCCCGAGGACCTGTACCACCTCATCAAGAAGGTATGCCATTCATCCCCCCACATCAATTATCTAAATGGAATACTCACAATTCTGCTCAGGCCGTCGCCGTCCGCAAGCACCTTGAGCGTAACCGCAAGGACAAGGACAGCAAGTTCCGCCTGATTCTCATCGAGTCTCGTATCCACCGTCTGTCTCGTTACTACAAGTCCGTCGGTGTCCTCCCCCCCACCTGGCGTTACGAGTCCGCCACTGCTTCCACCCTCGTTGCTTAAGCGCGTGCACATCTTCATGTGCGGGGTTAGAAGTTGTTGTGGTGAAGTGGCTGTCGTTGTGGTTGATTGGGTCGATCTGGAAAGGGTTGATTCCGTCGATAGTCATGAAATAAAAATTATGACCACATACACATACCTTTCTACTATATTTATTACCGTAGTTGTTGTTGTAACTGAGTATAGTTAGTATATTCTATCATGTATAAGTTACTATATACTGGTTGGTATATGTCACGACCTTATAACCTCCTTAGCAACAACATTACAAACCTCCACCCTCACCCCCGCACTCGCCAAAACATGAATCCATAATCTCTGCGAATCACTCAACCGATCATTCGCCGACTTGACTTCCACGAACATCACCTCTCCGTACCCTTCTTTCCCCTCACCCTCACCATCACCATCACTCTTACCCTCCTCCCCATCATACACCCTCCAAACCAACAAATCCGGCACCCCACCCCCACGAGCCTGATACTCCTGGGCAACGACCCTACAAACAGCCGCGAGGGCCTCACCGGGAAAACATCTAACGATCTGAACCAAATCATCCAACTCAAACGACCAATCGAGGCCAATCGCGCACGTCTGGCGCGGGGATTGCTCCGCATAGACAGCGCGAATCAGCCGCTCCGACTCGCCGTTGGTGATCTCCACCAGCCGGTGGTTTATCTGTGAGAGACGGGTTGGGTAGAAGGCGTCGGTGTGGAGATCGAGCGGGCTGGTTTGAAAGGGGGTTTGGAAGACGTTGGGGACGTAGGTGTAGAGGATGTCGTAGAAGAGGTAGGTGAACAGGGTTCTGATGATGCCTCCTTCGGAGTGGTAGCCCTTCCAGCCACGGTCTTGATACCAGCTTAGACACATGCTTTCGACGCGGCATTCGCCGCCATCGCGGGGGTCGAGCCAGATGGTGGGGCGGCCGCGTTTGGAGGAGGTGGTGATAGTAGGGGTGGTGGTGGTGGTGGTGTCAGCTGGGGTTGAGGGTTGGGTTTGGGTTGGCTCGTCACGCTCGATCTGGACACCTTCGATCGTGCGTTCTGCGGGTTTGGCCAGTCTGACGTGCCCGAAGTCGTGCTGTTCGCGTTTCACGACCTTCAGGGTTCTTTCGAGCTTGGTGATTCGTTTTTGGAGGTCATAGTGGTAGATGAGATGGCAGTCTGGGTCCTGCAGGCCTACTTCACAGGTTTGGAGGGCGATGCGGCGCCAGTGCTTGCGTTGAGCTTCTTCGCTGCGTCCTTCAGAGGACTTCAGGGCCCACAGGTAGTGTTCTTCTAGGAGGGCTTTGCGCTGGTACCATGCGCCGCGACGGGCGGCGTGGAAGAGACGCTGGGCTAGGAGTTCGGAGAGGAGACGGTGCTCCTCTTCGTGCTCTTTGAAGCGGCCTAGGGGGTGGAGGCCTTTGTGGATGATGCGAGTGTATACCCATGCTGGAGAGAATCGGCGGAGATAGGCGCCTTCGTTGTAGTCGTAGATGGTGTCTTCTTTTTGTTGTTCCTGGTGGAGGAGGGTTTTCCACCGGGGATAGACTTTGTATGCGAGGTCTTTGACTTGGGTTAGCAGTTCGACGGTGGGAGTGCCGTTGAACTCGAGGAGGTTGTCGATTTGGTATTGAGTGCGCAGGGCGGATTCGAATTCTAGGAGGATCTCCCGCGAGGGGAAGATGGAGTTGGTTCGACAGACTACGTATTCTGGGAAGTTTCTGCGGGAGATCTTGGCTAGGATGATGGTGGTGAGTGATTTCTCGGTCCATTCGGTGGACCGGTAGAAGACTAGATGGACTCGTTCGAATAGGGCACGAGGGCCGGAGGCCAGTCGGATGCAGTCGCCGGTGTAATCGAGGATTTTCTGGATGAAGTGGTCGTCTCTGTTGTTGCCGTTGGATTTACTGTTCCAGTCCAGGCCTGTTTGTTTCTGACTTGATCGTTGTAGAGCGGTTATGAGCTCTTTTTTGCTCTTCCCTGTTACTTTGGCGTCTTTCGCGAGCGTTTTCAACTCATCGAGGAGTAAGAGCGAGGACGCTTCTTCCAGCGTGGTTATCTGATTCATTTCCTCGGCGAATTTGAACTCGCCATTTTGACCCAAGACGAAGCCCGTATCAACGGGGACGGTGTCATCTGTGGAATTTCCATCCTCAGATGCCGATGGAAGCTTGCGAGCGCGGCGCAGTTCAGCTACTACTCGAGGCATGTCTGCAATATCCGAGTAGTAACCCAGCCGGTTGACTCGGTGCCAGGCAGAGGTCTTGCGGAGGAATAGACGCACATACCTTCACAGTCAGCTTAAGGATCTTACGAATATAAACCAGGTAGACATACAAATACTGAGACTCATAGTCCAGTTCTCGCCACTGCCTGAACACTTCCATCTCCGCCTCATCGAACAGATGCGCCTCCTCATCCAGCACAGTTTCCAGTGCCAGATTGAACGCATCCACGTAGATCGAACTCCGACCCTTGCGCCATGTACCGTCCCTCAGTCTCTGCCGGAGGTCCGGCTCGTTCTCGTCGTCAACTGCGCGCGAAGCTTCATATTCCTCGATTGCGCGATTGTCTGCCTGGATGGAAGGCAGGGACGACTCGAGTTCGGTTTGGCTGTTTGGTGGTATTTCAGAGTCATCTCCAGCAGCCCCAAACCCAGCTTCAACAGGAATTGGATTGTAATCTAGTCGCTCCGGCAGCGGTGTTTCAGAGGACTTTATCAGCGGACTATCAGACGAGTCGGGAGTGTCTTTCTCATCGCCGGTGTCAGTCTCTTCCTTGGTAGTTTTCCTGCGCTTTGCGGAAGGACGAAGAGTGTCCCAGTAGTGCAGCAGGGACATGCTGCAACCCGAGCAGCAGTTACTAACACATAGTCTGCAATGATAGCCTCTCCATCTGCATCTCGCTACTGGAAAAAGAACGTGACGCGGAAAGACACGAAGTCACCTGACCACTATATCCCGATACAGACAAGCATCATATATACTTTGCACTGTTTGCACTGATGCTGATGCTCCGAAGCACAAGATGAAGCACATGCAGTCAGCAGAGCCAATTTCATCGAATATAATCCCATATCTCTCAAATATCATATCGAACTTACAAGCACATCAAATTTCAGACAAATATAAACCATGGCCGATGACAACGCGGTAAGAAACAACCCAGAACTGCCAGGAACCACTCCTGCACAGTACAACTCTCCGTCGCGATCCCCACAGGCGGAGCAGTTGCAACTTGCTCCGCTTTTGTTTTACTTCTGTCTCGAATTTCTTAATTTTGCCCCCATTAACCAAATTCACCTCAATTGACGTCTACAATTCTGTTTATTCTCATTGTTGGACCACTTTTAACCATTCACTAAAATTGTCCCCTCCTACAGCAGGCAACAGCAACAACAACTCAACCTCAACCTCAACCTAATCCTCCAACACAATCTACTACTTCTACTACCACCACTCCCTTCCCTCCCCAGAACCAACCACCATCATCACAACCACAATCACACCCACCTCTTAACCCCGAGAAAGACAAAACCATGGCTTCCGACTCAGCTGCAAACACCCCCGGTGCCGACTCCGCCGCTGCAACTCCCTCCGCCACCACCACCACCAACCAAGTGCGTCCCGGCGGCGCCCCGATTAGAAGATACATGAATGAGAAGATTGTGCCGCATCTTCTTGATGGGATGACGGTCGTTGCGAAGGAGCAGTGCGTATACCATCCTCACTATTCTTCTAATCTTATTCGATGGAGTATTCGTGAGCTGACCGTGTCTATAACATGATGATAGACCACCTAACCCCCTCCGCGTCCTCGGCGAATACCTCATCCAGAAGAGCAATGAAATCGAACAGCAGGGTGTTTCGAAGACGCCGGAGTAGACATTCTTGTTCAAACGACCATTGGTGCTGATCCGTGATGTGTTACACGAGACGATCAACAAGCCCATACACGATCCCATACTATTTACGGTGGAATAAAGGCTGGCTAAGATCTCAGTGGACGCATACATAAGAATATCAATATGTGCTGCTGTACGTGAAGTGGATACTTTCAAGGTTCATCTCATCTGCATAAGAGCAACAAGGAGGAGATCATGGATGGATGGATGCTGATCTGGTCTAGTCTACTCTAGTCGTTCAGTCTGAGACGCGCCACCACACAGATAGACCGAATTGGTTGGATTTTGGATAGCTTTGGCATATGGAGAGGTTGCTCGCACCCTAGCTATGGGTTCTTGTTTCTTGGGGCAGTGAGTGAGTGCATCTTTGACTCACTGGGGTGGAAATAATGCGGTTACGAGGTTATGATATGGATGGAAATGTACGATTAGCTTGGTGGCTGAATATCCGTTGTATTGGGCATATTAGGCACGGGTTTGCTTATGGACCAGGCAGTCATTGGAGACTGCATGTTGCCTAGATACTAGACATAAGATAAGACTCTTGCTTACACGTCTATGCTCTATCTACCTACGCCCCAAACGAGGGTCTAAATTCTCCATGTAAGGTACGGAATGCTACAAGGGAGCACAGCGAGAACCAATCTGAAACAGAACGAATTTATTCCCTAGACCCAAACGCAACGGAAATATCTATGTAACAACAGATATCAAGCATGCTGCCCTGCAGTTAGCCATTATGAGATGATGGTGGAAAAAAATGGAGTGAAAAAGAAAATGAAGAAAAAAAGAACAAGAGACACCCGTAGATGTCCCATGCTCTCAACCTAGGTCAATCAGAGCATAGTAGCATTCTGATATTCATATTTTCAATCAGTCTCAGACCGATCGAACCTACCTCAATCCCCACCCCTTCCATTTGGCCGGATTATCGATCGCACCGGGGGAAAAAAGTACCGACGCCCGGAATTACAGGGTCCACTTGTTTGCTGCTGCCATCGGATTGGCTCTATTGCGAGAATTGGACTTCTTCCCCTGGCGATACTACAACGCAAACGCTATGGCGAACTGGTGCCGCGCGACACTGGTCGACCTCCCTGCAGACCGCCGGGTGCAGAGAGCGGGATCCAGGGCGTAAGCAATAGCCTCTGCAGGCTGAGCAGATTTATGGAAGCTTCTGGCCGAATACAATCGAAAGTCGTTACGTTAAGATGAGTTGTATAAGACGCAAAGACGCAAACAAAGGCGAACAGCTGACTAGCGAGATAACGACCAAGTTTCCGGAAGGGTTGAAGAGTGAAATGTAGCAGTGTGCTGAACCCATCTGACAATCCGAGGAATTACAACGTTAAAGTTCTTGTTCTTTCCCATGCCGCCAAATATTCCGGTGTTGCGAGCGAATTTAACAAAAGAAAACATCAGCGTGTGAGGAGTGCCGACGACACCACATAGGATTCTCCTTTTCTTTTTTCTTCTTATTTTTTCCCTTGGTTTTTCTTTTCTCTTTCGAAGATCGACTGGTCGCATAAACGGTGACATGTCGGTTTCGCCGGATGACATGTGAATGCGATGAAGACTTCTTCTCTCCATTTTCGACAAGACAACAGATGACGCCCCACCGTAGCCCGTTGAGCGCAATTCCATTCGAATGGGGGTATTGGGAATTAAAAACCATTCCAGGAAATAGGGTAAGTAAGGGAATGTCACAGAAAACAAAAGGCGTGGGGAGAAAAATTGAAAGAAGCGCGGAGGCTAAACGGACCCATCACTGGACGAAATTACGTGCTCTGGGCCGTGTTCCGACCGTCCAGATCAGTCAAAACTTCACCTACCTAGTGCTGTAACGGTCGTCACGGGGGTCATAGGAACGGCCGCCACCGCCAGCGCTGCTGCTGCCGCCGCCGCCTGCGTAGGCATCACGAGCAGGAGCTGCGGAGCCGTAACTCGGGGGGTTAGCATCGCGGTCATAGTAGCCACCACCGCTGCCGCCACGACGCTCCTCACGGCGGTCGTCACGACGGTCGTCGCGGCTGTAACGGTCCTCGCGGCCACCGGAAGCATAGCGATCAATGCCACCGCTGCTGCCACCACCGCGGTAACCATAGTCATCACGGTAGTCACGGCGGCCACCGTAGTCACGGTAGTCACGACCACCATAGTCGCGGCGGTCGCTGTAGGAGTCATAGCGGCCATAGCGGTAGTCGTCACCACGGCGCCAGCTACCACCATAAGGACCACGACGATCATCATAGCGATCGCCACGGCCACCACGGTGACCTCCACGGAAATCTAACAAATTTGAACACGCATAAGCCATATATCGATATACAGAGGGAGTCTGGACAATAACTAACCACGCTTGGGAGGACCAAAGTACTTTCCGGGAGTCGGGGTTCTGGGACGGCTACGGCGAGCCTTCTCGATGCTCAGGGTGCGGCCTTCGATGACCTCGCCCTGGAGACCCTCCTTAGCGGCATCGGCCTGCTCGGCAGTAACCATCTTGACGAAACCGAATCCACGAGACTCCTTGGTGTGGGGGTCGACCATGATCGAGCAGTTCTCGACATCGCCGTACTTCTCGAACAGACGCGAAATATCCGACTCGGTCAGACGGGGGTGGATACCAGTGACGAACAGGTTGGATCCAGTGTTGAGAGCACCCTCCTCGTCATCGAGGTTCTTGCGGGGATCAATGGGGGCGCTATTAGAAAGAAGCTCCAGTCAGTCTGGCTGGCGTCTTGGGTACGGCTAGCTAGCTAGCTAGCCAGCTCTGCACGTAAACATACCGATCATCGACGCGACCGTTGGGAGAACGGCTGCGGGTGCGATCAGCACGAGGCTCATCGCGAGGAGATGCGCTGCGGTCGCGAGCGAAACGGGGCTCGTCTGAGCAGCAGCAAGTCAGCATTGTTGTGATGATGTTACCGGGGAGATCAGCTGAGCTGGCGAGGCAAGATGACCGGTTGACATACCGTCGTAGCGACCGTTCTCGTTATCGTACTCTGTAGCCATAATGACGGAAATCGAAAAGACGAATGAGAGAGCTGAGTGAGGTGAAAAGGGATGAGAAGGCGCGCGCGCGACGCAGACCGAGGAAAGTGCTAGTGAGAGGCAGAAAAATTCAACAACCGAACCCGATAGCTATCCGACGCGGATATCAGAAAGCCAGGAAGCTAAGATGGCTCTGATTTCCGAGAGGTTAGAAAGAAGAAGAGAAGAAGGGGGATAAGGGAGGAAGGCAAAAAGGATGGATGGAGGAAGAGATGGAAATCGGTGGTGATGATGAAAGAAGGGGGAGAAACCGGGAAAGAAAGTCGAGCGCGGCGAGTCTTCCATAAGCCATTCTGGACCGCCCGCGGCTCTGCCGTCGTGCCAAGGCCGATTCTCCATACCAGCCATTCAATACTGTTCCACACTATGGAGTGAGGCTATATATCTCTACAATAAAATGGGAAATGAATGCGAATTGACATGATTACATTCTGTAAAGTTCATTACCTGAGAATGGCTACTGTTCTAATCCACCAAATTCCCAGTTTCTGACCTACCCAACGCCTGGCCAGCCTATGTTTGTTCCCTCAGCAGCAACAGCAGCAGTAGTAGTAGGGAGTCAAGGAAAGAAAAGCAAACATGCAGAAAGGGGAAATCCGGGTAACGCAAAGAAAGAAATGATGTGTAGGTGTGTAGGGAATGTTCGCTCAAAACCAATGATGATATCTCCGCCATCTGTACGTCTAACTACCTGAATCCGCGCCAGCGTCGTCGAGTCCGATGTACCTTAACGCTCTGTTGCGTCGGTGCATCGCCTCCATTTGCTGCTTCGTTCGATCCATTGACCATCTGTCCTTCTAGCTCTTCATCTTCAACCAGGTCTTTTAGTTCTTCCTCGTCTAGCTCACTGAGCTCCTCGCTCATCCCTCGCATCACATCTCGCCCGGTCCACCGCTCCTCGTGGATGGTGGTACCAATGGGATCGAACGGTTGCATATACCACTGGATGCCTCCTTGCGCCAACGGGTATTGTTGATCACCTTTGAAACTGGGTGGGGGCGTCAACGGCCCATTTTGGGTCTCCACTGGTGGCTTGGATGGCTCAACACTTTCTTTCTCCAGATTTCCGTTTTGATCAGGGACAGATGGTTGATTTTCAATTGTAGGCTGTACAACTGTGGGCGCCACATCTGCACTTTGAGGCTCTGTATCCTGCATATCAGCGGGTGCATCCTCCATGTTCGTGTCCTGCTGTACTTGAGGCTCGGTAGATGCCTCTGCGGGTTGGGACTCGGCCGCACTAGGCTCAGCTGTTGTAGCTGTGTTCCCAGGCACGTCAGCAACACCAGCACTATCTTCAGGCTCGGATTTAGCAAGCACGTCCATTTCCTCAACCTTCTGCTCTGTTCCATTTGGTACTGCAGATGCTTGTTCATCGTTAACTGTTTCTGGCGCATCAACTTCGGAGCCCCGCCTGGACATGACACTATTCTCTAGCATGAGATCGAGCTCCTTGAGCTCCTGTTCAAACGGCTTGCGGTTTAATTCGCTCTCCTTCCTGATCGCATCTTCTAGAGAAGGCTGAATGGCCTTGATTATCCGCTTGGCAAGCTTTCTCTTCTCGCGTTGCTCTAGGCTGAGTTCCGGTGCACGACCACTAATCTGCATCTGAAGTTCAGCCGTATCTCCAGCCGGTTGGACTCCAATCTCCGTAGTGAAGACATGAGCCAGGTCAGCGGAGAAGGTAGCGACCGACGGATAGAACCGTTCTTGCAGCTTAGTTCGAATAGACGCCAGGCCTTGTCGAAAGATACCTTTGCCATCAAGCCTGCCGCGATGTTAGACCACGCGAGATAAAGTAGAAGAATCATGCTTACACTTGAGCTTTCTCGAATATTGGCCAGAGCAGAGGGAAGATCGGGAAGTAGACAGTGTCAACAATGCTTTTAAGCGTCTCCACATCCTTTAACTTCTCCCTCTCGCGGTTTT